TGACAAATTTGCAGTGATGTTTACAGTTGAGATGGTGACTAGCAAAGGTTTTTTTTTTTTTTTTTAAAGCCTTCTGAGCCATGGAAAGGGTCAGTCTCAAGGGGAGCCCCATGGCGTCCTCTGTCTTTTAGCTGCTGTTGAACAAACGAGAAACTTCCCAGTGTGTGGACAAGAGAAAAGGGCATCCTGGTAATAAGAGATGAAATCACATATACGATTCCACGGTTCCAAGATACTGGGAGAATATTCTCGATTGAAGTGAATTCGTCTGAACTTTAATGCCTGCTTTTAGTTTTTACACCGACATGTGACATGAAAACAAGACAAAACCAAAATCGGGGAGGAATAGCCGATTATTTGCACTTTTACAGGGTTGACGGGTCAAGGTGTGGTCTGTTGTGGGGTTTCTGCAGTGGTTTTAGGGCCAAACCTTCTGTCCTGCTCTGGACAGGACTTGGGTGTTTTTCTCGAACTGCCCATTGGTGACCGCTGTGACAATCCTCTGGCCTCTTTTCAGATGGGCTGTGTCTCGATAACTTGTTTTCCTTCATCTCTTTCTCTTCCTCGCAGGCTGCAGTTGAGTTTTCTTCAAGTGTTTTCTTCACTCAAAGCTTTTGAAGACTTATTTTTGCTTTAAGGGGAAAAAAAATCAAAAGGCTTTTTGGAGGCACCTTGAGCACGCCGTGGAAACCATGTGGGGGGCAGGTGATTGAACTCGTGTAAACTCTTTGAAAGGGGAATTGACTGGCGTTCGTGTTTGATCTGGTAAAACCAATAAAGCACAAGACGTCATCTTCAGGGGCTTTCAAAAGCCCTGCTGTCTGATCCTTCCTGGCGGTCCCAGCCCCGAGTCCAGAGGCAACAGGGCTCTGGGACCGCCTCACGCTCCCGGCTTCTCTTATGTTTTGCTGGCTTGGCTCCAGAACAGGACGGCATCGCAAATACTGTGTTTTATGTTCGTTGTCAAGGGACTTACCTGTTGAAGGCTCTTGTAACGTGAGCAAGAACTTCCCCCAGGGCGGGCTGTTGAAATGGTGCTTGTGTTTTTCTGCTGCTCACCTGCTCAGAGAGCGTTGCAGGTAAGCACCCTCGTTGGAGGGTGCACACCTGGCCGGAACACGGCGGCTGGGGGGGTTTACAGACATCCGTGATGGCATTAGCCAGGCTTCTTAGAAGTTCTTTGTGGACAGGAATAGTATGGAGAATGATGATAGATTAAGGCAAGAGCATGAATACCTGCCAACGCTTAACAAGGGGAGGGGTTGTTTTAGGAAAAACAGGAAGCCTAAAATGCAAAGAGGAGGCAGACACATGTTGGGGAAGGGGGGTGTGTGTGGAGAAAATTTCTGCATGGAAAAACAATGTGCATAAATTCAAAAGACAAATAATACACAGGCAAACGTTTACAACCCCTGAGACAGACAGTTCCCCATCAAAGCAGGACAGTGGCCAGTCCCGGGAAACAAAGGCGGAAATGCTAGCGTAGCTCACTGCTCACCCGGGCAAACAGGGAAGGCCTGCACCCGCCAGGGAGGACCGTGGGGTGGGCCCCCTTCTCAGCCAGATTAACGAGAGTGGATGCCCGGGGCTCATCAGACTGGGAGGTTTCCCTCCCGGGATGGCTCCCCGCTCATAAAAGCAGCAATAACGGCAAAGCGACACACTTTCCCCCTCCCCCAACACGCCCCGTGGACTCTGCTAAGCGCGTTGCCTGGATGACCCTTTTCATCCCCCTGAGCATCCTTTGACGTGCTGTCTTCAGTAATAAAAGTCGGTACAATCACGATAAATAATCGTCTGGGACGGCTTGCCGTGGCCCCAAATGTTTCTTTCTAGTGACGGGGCTTGCTGTCCCATGGTCAGCGGGAAATTTGGCCGAACAGGAACATGCCTTGGGTGTGGACCTGTGGTGATGTTAACTCTCAGTGACGTGGAAACAGCTTCGGCAGGCCCTGCGAATGCGGGGTTCTTTGTGGGTTCGGCAGGTGTCTGAGCCCTTGGGTGGGGGCTCCCTAGTTGCCCACGGGCCCCGGCCGGCAGTCTTCACTGCTGCCTTCTCTCTGTGTTTGTTGCTGGGGTGTGGCCCTTTCACCCACCATCTGGGAGGAGCAGAAGGGTGTTACCCAGGTGGGCCCTGCAGAGAACTCCCCCCCATAGTTCTTCCTGCCTTTTTTTTAAAATTTATTTTTTATTGATTATGCTGTTACAGTTCTATTCCCCCCTTCATTCCCCTTCACCCTACCCGCCCCCATCCCCACCATTACCCCCCCCTTTAGTTTATGTGCATGTGTCTCAGGTTCTTTAGATTCTATATTTCCCATGCTATTCTTGCCCCCCTATTTTCTATCTACCGTCTATGCTACTTATTTTCTGTACCTTCTCCCCCCTTCTCCTCCTCCCACTCCCCTGTTGCTAACCCTCCATGTGATCTTCATTTCTATGTTTCCACTCCTGATCTAGCTGTCCTCTTAGTTTGCTTTCGTTTTAGGTGTGGTTGTTAATAACTGTGAGTTTGCTGTTCTTTCACTGTTCATGTTTTGTTAACTCCTTTTTCTTAGATAAGTCCCTTTAACATTTCATATAATACGGGCTTGGTGATGATGAACTCCTTGAATTTGATCTTATCCGAGAAGCACTTTATCTGTCCTTCCATTCTAAATGAAAGCTTTGCTGGATAGAGCAATCTTGGTTGTAGGTCTTTGGATTTCATGACTTGGAATACCTCTTTCCAGCCCCTTCTTGCCTGAAAGGTCTCTTCTGAGAAATCCGCTGATTAAAACTCTCTGACATGAACCAAAAGAATTTTTTCCGCTGATATATCGACGTCCACTGTCACCAGCCTTGTACCTGTGTCCCCAACCTCCCGTTGTACTCTCTGCATCCACCCACCCGGATGTCCCCGAGATGCGGACTGCGGGCCTGCCTCTCACCTGTCCCTGCCAGGTTAGAGGCTGGGGCCCCCCGGAATCGCTCCCCGAGACACACCCTGCCCCCCCGCAGCTGGCTGCAGGCTCCGGCCTTGTGACTGCACAGGCTTCAGTCGGCTGGTCGAACCCCTGTCTGTTCACTGCATCCTGGGTGGATGGTGGATGCTGATGGGCGGTGTGCACGCCAGACGCCAGCGCCAGGGCCTGCTGCAGGGAAGCGCTCAGCAGCGCACCAACAAACAGGTATTGGTAACCACCGTGTCAGATGCAGTGGTATTTCGGCCAACAAGCCCTTGGGGCCGGCAGCGGTGGCCACGCCTACTTGTGCGTCCGTCCTGCGGCGCAGCTTTGACGGACGGCTGTGTCTGACGCCTGCAAGAGCCGGTCCGAGGCCAGTGTGGAAGGTGCAGGCGGCAGAGTGGAAACAGGGACGTCTCCCTCCTGGGCTGCCCTGCAGTTGGGCAGCTCAGATTCAGATCAAAGGCAGAGGAGGAAGGTCTGATACACCCCTGGAGAGCAATGCAGGACACACAGAGGCAAAGAAGGGGCCCTGGGCCCCTGCAGAGGCCTCTGCTCACCTGTCCAGCTGAAGAAAGACCTGGGAGGGAGAGAGCGGGGAAGCTGGCCCCCCGGCTAGTTTTTAGTTTTCAGAACAGGCGGCAGGACCCTCTGCTTCATTTCCTCCCTCAGCTTTCCCCTGGGCCCGACACATCTCAGCCTCACCATCCTCCGAGGCGGAAGAGAAGGGCTAATCCTGCCCACTTGAGATCCATGCCATGGTTTGGGGGATCCCGTGTTATGGAGACATGTTGTTAGAAATGGGACTTAGTAAGTGGCATTCTTGGAAGGGGAAGACCCACATGAAGCATCCCCACGCCACGGAATCATGCAACAAACAGGCATGAGCTACCGGTACAGGTGGTGACAGAGATGAAGCAAAAACACCCCAGCACTTAGCGTAAAGTAAAAAATGTTGGCAGGTGAGCGCAGCCAGGCGCAGAAGGCCACCAATGGTGTAAGTGCTTTTATGTGAAATGCCCGCGGGGGGGTCAGGCTATGGAGTCGGAAAGGGTTCTTTCTGGGTCGATTAAACAGGATTGTCAGAACGTTGCATGCTTTTGTGACTATGCTAAAACCTACTGAATCGTACCCTTTACATAAGTGACTTGTATGTATGTAGCTTTAATCCCAATAAAATCATTACAAGTATTTTTTAAAGATGTTATTATTTTAATTTTTTTAAAATATAACGGCAGACCAACGTCCATGCTGATGTTCTTAAAAAGGAGCAGTGTAGGGGTTCAAACAGGAAATGGGCTATTTCACCCCACCCCTGAACTTGAACTTCAAAGACCCAGAGGTCACGATATGACATCTTTATCGGTGGGAGATGGCTTCTTCTGTCTGTCCCGAGTACCCCGGCCCAGCGTAACTGGATGGGCAATGTCCCAGCCAAAGGAAAAGCTGTGACCAAAATCTTAATCATGTGCCGTGGGAAGCTTCTAGACAGACATTCAAATGTTGGAGACGAGTGTGAAGGTTTGTTTTCTAATGAGTGGACGCCACCCACGCGCGTTATTTTGTTGGCTCATCCCAGCGACCTGACGCGTGAGATTTTTCCCTTTACAGCTGGATAAACTGAGGCACGAGGGCGGTTTGTCTCTGGTTTGTGTCACTCGCCAGGTAAAAGGGAAGGAGAAGGCTTTCCCGGGGACAGCTGAGTCCCAGGCTCAGTGGTGCGAACCAGGTAGCGTGGAGCCTGCTGGGTGCCCGCCCTGAGACCTCGCCGAAACCGCTCTGACAGGCAGGTCTGAGCGTGCGTTTCCCTGCTCACTGTTCCTCGTGCGCAACTTGGAATCCTTATTCCTTTATACGTCTTCGGTTATATTGCAAAGTCGAGGGTACAACCGGACTTATACTAGAAACACATTCTCTAACAACCGCACTCGGGGCAGCAACACTGGTCTCTGGTTAATGCAAATATTGAAAAAAGTCTATTCCCACCCTACATACCTTGGTAGCTTTTCCTCAGAAAAAAATTTAACGTGTCGCTATTTCTTTTTCTTTCCGCAGAACAACGGTTCCCTGGTTTGGTGCCAGAACCACAAGCAGTGCTCTAAGGTATGTTCTTCATGAGTGTGTTCATATTTTTTAAAGAAACTTTTAATTTGGGGACAATTACAGAGTCACCAGGAATTGCAAAATTGAAGCACAGAGAAATTGTGGGTACTCCTCACCTGGTCCGCAGCCATGGCTACATTTTATGCTTTTGTGGAACAAAGTCAAAAGCAGGCCACCGGCTTTGCTACAATGTATCTTTGGGGTACAATGTATCTCTGTGGGGTGGGGTCACACGTGCAGGTTCTATACTCATGAGCATACCCTCCCCTGCCGTCAGGGGGCGTGGGTCGTCATTTGCAACTCCCACAGCATTTCTCTTTATTCTGTAGTGTTCTGAATGAAAAAATTTAAAGAGAAAGCGCCTTCTCGGTAGACCAACGGTAGTACATTTTACTTAGACCTAAGTTACTTTGTATATAGTTCCTCTGTGTGTAAGAATCGCTGGTTAAGTAATCTGATTCTTTAAGTGGGCAGTCTCTTTTCCATCGGGAGTGCTTCATGTTGCACACAGATGCTCTACACTTGTCCTTAGACTCATGTACGTCTTTAATAGCGTACATTTTGTGCCTCACTCCCGAAACCTCACAACGTGAGGCTCTTTGGCTCCACCCAACAGGTAGGTTTTAATGGCATTTTGTTATGTAAATGAATGAAGTTTAAACTCACTAAACACAGTACAGCGGGTCTTCACCCACCGTTGGGTTTAATGGCCTTTAGTTGTGGATGTGACTTTCAGACCAAAAACTGAGCACTTCTGTATTTCATAGCCCGCACTGTATCTGAGCAAGACACAATACCAAGAGAGCAGAATTATGAAGAATATTATTTCGTGAGGTCTTTCAAACACATTAACTCCACGTAGATGATTATAGAATTATATTCCTAAAGTTAAGACTTTATTATAAGAATACGTCCACACACTCATGCATGTATTCTTTCCTTTCGTGCATACAGATGATATTAAAAGCAGCAGAGAACTGTTGTGTGGTTGCGAAATAGTTTGGTGACAATACGCTTTGCCTTGCTCTGACCCTCTGGGTCCTGGGTGGAAGTGAACTGTCTGTTTTAGGGCCCTTTGCCCTGTTACGACATCATACACATTTGCTCTGAAAAGGCTTTTTCTGGTCCCTATTGTACGCGTACTACAGTGGTTCCCCCTTATCTGTGGTTGCAGTTACCCCTGGTAAAACGTGGTCGGAAAACATTAAATAGAATACACAGTGTATTCTATTGCAAGTTGCAGGAATACACAATGTATCAGTTTGAAATGTCCTGCCGTTCTGAGAGTCCCAGTGGAATTCCCAGCTGTCCTACTCCCTCCACCCGGGACACCCATCGTCCCTTGTCCAGGGCCCGTGCCTATTCGTCCCTCACTAGCCATTTAGGTGGTCAGCTTGGTGATGGGACAGAGACACGGAATTCACATCACGTGTCCCAGTCTGTTATTACGACCATTCCATTTTCCTATTAGTTATTGTTGCTAACCTCTTACTGTGGTTAAATATAGGTGTGTGTATGTATACATATCCATTCATGAGGCTGAGTAAATTTCCTAAGTGGTGCATTTCAGTTTTGTCTTTGTTGGGTGTTGTGTAGACAATAGTGGGTTGTATCACTACCATTTCTTGTCCAACCATCCCCTTTCTCCTCATCCCATCCAAAAATGAACGGATCCTTTTTTACCCACCTGCCATGTGAGTGAAAGAGGTTCACTGGAACTAATTTCACTGTATTTGCTTAGTTCGATTCCCTGCCTGGGTCTCTAGCTCTCTCCCCTGTTGCCTTCTCTAGCTGCTTGATGAACCGCGTTTAAAATACCTTAATGAAACACATCGTATCTGTGGGGACTACGGGCTGTTAAACCGCATTTGTAATTGGCTGAGCAAGCCTCGCCCCTGACATTGAGCTTTGCAGAAAACAAGTCGGTTTCTTTGGCTTGAAGGTGACCGTGAATCAATAAGCCACAGCTAACTGCAGCGGAAACTTGGGGATATGTCAGGAAGGGTTGTTTGCCGTCCGAATCCTCCGGAAGGACCCGTGCGCGTTCATCTCAGGCAGTGCGGCTCCTTAGGGTGTTATTATTGCTGTGCACCTTTGTGCAGAAGGCCGATGTGTGTTTCTTCTGCGCTTCGTGAAGCACGGGCGGGCTTTTCCGCTGGGCCTTCAGGATAAAGGGGTGCATGGGTATCGACGCTCAGTTTGTGTCCTAGGTGAGGACATTGAGGCACAGACATAGTGGGTGGCACTCCTGGGGTCAGTCAGCCAGTGGGTCGAGGCGTCCAGCAAATGCAGTTTGGAATGCGGTTCCCTCCACTGCACTGCGTAGAAATCAACAACTTTGGAAAGCTGTTCTGAACACATATGGCGATGGAAGATTGAAAAGATGAGAAGGAACCAGAACAAAAACACCCTGAAATGATGTTGCTGATAGAGCTTTCTGTATATGTGTTCAAAGATAAGCTTCATGTATTTTACACAAAGCACACACTTTTTGCCCATTTCTGACACCTCCCTGGGAAGCCCCGACCTGCAGCCTCCCCCCAGAATGTGATCTCGTCCCCCCCCACCTGTCCCCTCCCCTGAGCTCTCTGCCCTCCTCCCTCCCCCGCCCAATCCCTGAGGCTGCCCTTGGAGCTCATTCTGTGCTCCGTTCTGGTGGAAAGCAGCCGGTGATGTGGCCGGCTCTCATCCCTGGAAGCGCAGATGAGTTGTGTCCCGAGCCAAGATGCTCGTCCCACGAACAGGCCCTTCCCCAGCTGTTTGTCCATCCGTTCCAGCCTGGAACGGGCCTCTGTTTATCGTCTCTATTTCTCTCCTTGGGCCCGAGTAGAACGCCGCCTGGTGCTGGCAGTATTCTCTGAGCTCCATCGGATTTCTCTCCTTGCTCATTTGCGGGAGAGTTGTGCGTGTCTGTTGTAAAAGCCTCATCCTTTGATGTGCTCCGTGACCTCTGAACCTTGCACCTCATGGCGGCACCTTGATGGCAGCCCCCTGTCTCTGGGGAGCACGCACTCTCTTCTTCTCCTTTTGGGGGTGGTCACTGTCTCACTTGGCTGGTCTCCCATTTGGTTCGGAGGATACGTCACTCAGTCTGGGTGCCCGGGGCCGGGGACTTTGATCTCGGTGGCAGTTTGGTGCCAGCGAGGGCTCTAGCGGCCAATTCCGAGTCCTTCCCCAGGTTTCTCTGGAGCCAGCTGTGGCGGTGAGGACGGCCGCAGCTTCTTCTGCACGCACATCTGGCCGGCTTCCCTGGACAGCCGCGAGATTTACGGGGTCAGGGTGGGAGCGCTGCGACCCAGTCACGTGTGGCCGGCCAGGACGGCTGTCTGATGTACGTGGTAACAATTGCAAACCCACAGAATAGAAGCCGAGGAAAACCTGTGTCCAGGAGGAAAAAACGAAATCTCGTGGAAACAGGCCACGTTGCACACCCTGTATTTCTCTCCGATTCCAAGCAGCAACACATGTTTTCTATATTTTAAGACATCTGAAAGCCTATTGTAAAACTTACTGATACGGGCACGGTTTTCCCTGACGTTAGGTCATCAACCTCAAGGACAAGGATGGTGCCGACCGAGCGTGTGTACTGTCTGCTGCACAGATGTGCCGGGGAAATGACCGGTAACTTCATAGGCAGGGCCACCCCGGACGGTGGTTTTCTAGAATCACGCAGGCTTGTGCCGCTGGGAGGGAGAAAGAAGCCCCTGTCGGAGACACCTCAAGGGGAATAACGGCGTCCCTCTGGTTTGGATCCCACCATGCTGATTCCCGTAAGCACAGGTCACCTCGTCATTTCTCAGGAGGCGGTCAAGAGCCTGTGATGACGTGGGAGGAGAAGAGAAACAGTTGGGTCATGTTGCAAACCAGGGCTGGCATCGCAACCTGTGTGCCCTGCTTGTGAGCAGGACGTGTTAGGGGTGTGGAGGTTCGGCTGGTGTTCTCTCGGAAAAGTAACTGTGCGCCCTGCCTGGTGTGGCTCAGTGGATTAAGCCCGGGCCTGCGAACCAGACGATCGCGGTTCGATTCCCAGTCAGGGCACGTGCCTGGGTTGCAGGCCAGTTCCCAGCAGGGACTCAAGAGAGGCAACCATACATGGACATTTCTCTCCCTCTCTCCTTCCCTTCCCCTCTAAAGATAAATAAATAAAATCTTAAAAAAAAAAACCTAATTGCATGCAGACTCACAGTGGCGTGCTCAATAACATGCAACTCTGCCTGACCCGACGACCCTATAACACCATGTCTGTAAATGGCATGATTCTAACTGTCCCGACCACCTTTGTTCCTTTGCGCTTCCCAAGAGATGACGTCTCTCTTCAGGGACCCGAGCGCTTGAACTTGACCGTCTCTATGTGGTTGAAAGTCCCATGACCAGCACGCTGGCGTGCAGGGGTAGGTGTGCAACATGCTTGTCAAGGACTCCGTCTGTCCCTTGTCACTGTGCAGGGATGTTTGGGGGACAGCGTCTGTTCTAGAAAGGGGTGGGGGCAGACGGGGAGAGGAATTTGAAATGGGCAGCGCACAGAACGTGTAAGGGAGATGGTGAAGTGAACCCCTGGTGTCAAAGCCTCGTTTGTTAAGTGGGGAGGAAGGAGGGAGTGAGTGCTGAGGGCTCCCGGCAGGGCCCCTTCTGACAGGGCAGCAGGTGGATGGATGAGCGAATGGCTGGAACAGTTAGGGGCTTGCTGCCCTGCCCCCCCCCACCCCCGCCACATCTGTCAGGGGCCCTGGAAGGCATCAGGCTCCTGCTTCTAATCCCAGCGGGGGCGCGGGCGGCAGCCCGAACACCCTCGCAGACCTGCCCTGGCTCCGCCGGCCTTCTTACAGTAGCCGCCCTCTGCCCGCACGCAGGGAACCTTCACCACAGATCTCACGGGCTTTGGGGTGGGCTTTGGGGTGGTCGTCGGCGTGGGGTGGCTGGAACACCCCCAGGCGTTTTTGGCCAGGAACTAGCCGAGCCAGGCTTCCCACACAATCCCTGTGTAAGGGAAACACAGATTC